TGCTGATTAAGCTCATTGTTGTTCTCTTTTGGTGCAGCCCATTCCTCAGCTCAGAGTTTGGGTTTGCCGTGCTGCCACAAGGTCATCACCCAGGAAGTAAAGACAATCCAAAGTTGCTTTGAACAAAAACCACGCTATCGCTGCAGGCAACACGCCTTCCTGTGAGCAAGCCTAGCTTTAAACACAACTCTGAAATTTCCATGTTAATAACGAGTACATTATACATGTTGCACTGAGACACTGATGTAACAACATGTTTCACTTGTTTGTGTTTCTGCTTTTAGCATCATCAACAAGCGGCATAAAAATAAGATATGGTGCATTGATCCAAATTCTGAGTGGCTCAAAGACAAAATAGAGAAGGTGAGTCAAAGGTGACATCGCTCAAAGTGACTCTTCTGCAAACAAGTAAGATTACTGGATTGAGTTCCACTAAAGGAAACACCCGACTAAACTAAGTTGCCAAACGTCCATCTTCCATCATAGTCAGCACGATACGTTGACTACAGTGAATTTATCACTGGAAAATCCCCTCCCATCTAGTTTAGTCGCTGCGTCTTTCAGCTGCCTCAAATCTCTCATCTCGCGGTTGAATGAACTCCAGCTCCATCATCTCAAACTGTGCCTGGTGACAGCAGACGTTCTTTTCTGGAGATCTACTGGTTTGGGCCGCTCTAACCAGGACCTGCAGGAGAGCTGGTGTCACTATGCACACGAGGTTGGCGACTGTCACCAACTGTATCCCAGCATGGTGGAGGTGGAGTTCAACTATGGAATTAGGAACTAACTAACAAGGCAGCTGATTACTGCTGTTACGTCTTGTCACAAAATGTTTACAACATTATTGGTTAATTTATAAGAGGAATGTTTATATTAAAGTACATATTTTCAATTTAAAGCTTTTATCACCCACTTGACTGTGGGTCAGTAAAAGCACTCCACTTATGTAAAAGAGTAACTAGTGACTGTTGTGCTGAGCAATCATCGGGTGTCATTAGCTGCAGCATTTCATAATAAATCTGCACACCCACACTTTCCAACACACTGTTTCTTTCTCTAAGAAAAATGAGCTATTTTTAGATTTGGCCACAACTGCTGTGGCTCATCCAGTGAAGTCAGTGTTTTATAAAGAGATATGGGATGAAAGGAAACCTCCTCTAAAAATGTAGGAGGGGGAAGCCACTGATTAGCCTCTGCTGGTGTGAAACTGATGGATGATAATGTCAGACTCCCGCTGTGAAGTAACATAGAAAAACAAAAGTATAGATCAGCCTAACAGACAGTAATAATAAAATATTTCTAAATGTAAATATTTCTCTGTTTTCTTCTCCACAGGGAGAACTGAAATGTCCTCCGGTGATAAGTGTATGAAGCAACAATGAGACCACAAAACATCAGAGCAAAGAAGCTGATGACAACATTTTGTACTTATTTAATTGTAATTCTTTTTGCAGATGTATTTATTTATTTATTATGTAAGTTATTATTTTAGCCTTTAAGCCATCAACATCATTCCTAATTTGTTGTAGATGACAGTAATAAAAGTTGTTCTTTGTGACTCTAAATAAATATGGATCATGTTTAAAGTAAAATCTAATGCAGTTTGGTGATTTTTTTCTGGGCGGCAGTGCAGAGAAATTTCTGTTCTGACTCAGTGTCACATTTCTTTCAAATTGTTAACATGTAAAATATAACAGGTAGAAATCAGTTCATAACAGAGCTGAGGCAAAACCATTATTTTTACTAATCCTTACAAATAATATTAACGAAAATCTGATAATGAAAGAAAACTTTCACGTAAGAGGAAACTGAGGAAAAGTGTTGCTTTGGATCATGTACATGATGTGCATTTATGAGGACACTGGGACATGAAACCTGTATCTGCATAGGGTGACCTGATGTCCCTCTTTAAGCGCAGCTGCACAACATTTTATGTCCACCTGTCCCACATTTTGACCGACTCTGCAGGACATGCACTTTCATAAGGTCTGGCTTTAGTCAGTGCAACTGAATGGAAACATTTCTTATACTTAAATGAAGTTTAGCCTGTCTAATTCTATACCCACAGATACTCAGGGAAAGTCACGAAAGTTACACGCTGTGCAGATTTTGGTAAATATGATGGAAATGAACACAAAGAAAATGATGCAGTAATATAATCTGAGAAACTGAGGGAAAATATGATGTGATGTGACATTATTTGTAAGTCATACTTGGCTAAAATTGCTAAAATATTCAGAAATGGCTAAAAAAGGCATGTTGATCTATGGATACATCATTACTGAAACCCAAAGACTGTTACCAGGCAGAACAGCTGAATAAAATACAGCCTATTGTGTGAGATCATAACAACAAAGTTTAGCCTCCTTTTCTTCCTGTTGTATTGACTTAGCAAGAGAATTTAAAACATTGCATTAAAATATAAGATATTTGACAGTCTCCCTGCTTTGGTACTGTGCTGTTGTCCCACACAAACACTGTGTTTGTCCCACATTTAGTTTATTCATCAGAGTCAAAATGAAACCTTATGAAGGATTCATTTTACATGCCTTCATTAAATTGTATATAAAATAAGTAAATAAGTCAATAACTAAAACCTTTGAAGAGGTCAGATGGGAAGCTGTTGTCAGATTTCTCCAGTTTGATGTTGAATGATGGAGGCGTTATGATACCAGAGGTGTCTGTGGCTCTAAAGCTGAGGTAACATCCCGTCTTGCCAAAACGAGTTTAAAATATTAGAATAAAATATGTGATTTTACAGTGACGTCACAACAGAAGCTACATTTTCTTGCTGACCAGTCAGGTTATGGTAGTTTTAATCTGTGTTATGCTGCCGACAAAATACACCAACATGTGATGTCCATAACTCGCATTAGAAATTAAATTTGTTTCTTCACTCGTTTATGTTTTTCATCACCACTACCGTTGCCATGGCGCTCATTGTTGGCTGTGCAAAGTCATTTCTTGTGGAAATTCCGACACATTTGGTCTTGTGTGTATTCAAGCTGTGTCATGAGATGTTTCAGAGGTGAAACATGCAAAGCTTTACAAGCTCAGGTCTGCAATGACTCTATTTATAATATGTGTATTAGTAAAACACTGTCAGTCGCACATCTCTGATGTCAGAGCTGACATGGTCTCTGAGGTCAGTGAACTAGCTGATCAGTTATTTATAACTCCGGTGTTTCAGTCACTGCTGCAGACAGTAAGCATAGAAATACAGTGAATCATCAATACAAAGGAAAAAGAGAGTCACCTTTGTAATTGATCATTTATTCTCAGTAACAACTTCTGACATGAGCCTGAAAATCAGCATTTTTTATTTTATTGATGCTTCTCTGTGGTCACAGTTTGCTATTCATGGTGGTTAGTACTGTTGCTTTATAGCAAGAAGGTCCTGGCCTCAAATCCAGGACTATCTTTCTGTGTGGAGTTTGCATGATCCTGGTACTCCAGCTTCCTCCCAAAGACATATATATGGTGCATGTTTCTGGTGACCATAAAAATGGTTAATGGAAATACACCTCAATTAAACTTAAAAACATGAAAACGTTGTTGAAAAATTGATTGAAAGAAAATAGCAAAGCACAAACCAAAATCAATTTAAAAAATGTAATGTGTATCAGTGTAGTCAAATATTTGGCTACAGCCCTGAAATGTATTCGTATGAAATTGCAGTCAGCCCAGTTGTTTTTGTTTGTATAGTTCTTGATGGGCTCTTGTATGCGACCGTGGCGCAGGAGGTTGGAAAGCCTGGAACCGGAAAGTCACTGGTTCGATTCCTGGGCTCTCTGTCCTGGTCGTTGTGTCCCTGGGCAAGACATTTGCCCTCCTGGTGTTGGCCAGAGGGGCCGATGGCGCGATATGGCAGCCTCGCTTCTGTCAGTCTGCCCCAGGGCAGCTGTGGCTACAACTGTAGCTGCCTCCACCAGTGTGTGAATGTGAGAGTGAATGAATAGTGGAATTGTAAAGCGCTTTGGGTGCATTGAAAAGCGCTATATAAATCCAATCCATTATTATTATTATTGTATGTGTGGTGGTGTGAAGGAGGAAATCTGGTAAAGGTAACTAAATAGTGTTAAGTGTGCCACCTGGGGAGGGAGTACACCCCAGGAGAGATTACAACAGCCAGTCTAAACGTTGTAACAGTAACAAAAGGCACACAGGCTCGTTATTAACAGCAGAGTTTTGGCAAATTAATTTCATAGAAGACAACTTTTTAGAGAAACTACCACCAATATAGAGCCGCAGATAAGAAAACGACTTAAATAGCAGGATTAGCATACCAAACCTTAGATTAAGACATTTCATTAACACACAAACATTACTTAAACGAATAAGGTTCGCTGCCACGTGCTGCCCTAGTTAAAAAAAGCAGCTCAATAAAATAGTTAATCAAAATGGTGGAGACCGGCCACTTGGGGAGGCAACCTACAGATCGGAGTGCCCAAGGGTGCCACCAATTACTCTACCGTGCAGTCTTTCTGTAACTTAAATTGTGCGTTATACTTGTTTCCCATTGTGTACACTCATATGCATCAGAGGGAATTCCACCACACGTCCCTAGCCCCCACAGCAAGCGGCCGTGCCTTCACTAAAGCAGAATAAAAGAAACCTATAAATCAAGCAACATAAAACACAAAACAACTCAGTAAATGATAAACAGAGAGAAAGGAACAAACACACACAGGCAACCTTTAAAACCTAACAAAATATAATAAAAAGTTAAGACTAAAACACCATAAAACACAAATAACCAATCAATGCCACACACATTGCTGCTTTTGAGCTTGAGGGGAGATGACACTGAAGATTTACCTTTTTAAAGTTTTTTGCCAAGTTGGGGTTTAATTGTGAGTTGCCTCCTTTTTAACGTGTGTCACATGTTGATTTTATCAGGTTCACTGCAGCGCTTATCCTGTCTCTCGCATACTGTGACACAGTTTTATAGTTTTAACCGTATTTAATAAAGTAAAGCTTTTAATTGTTTTAGGTACTACTGTTACATGGTTAATTTTATTTTGTATTAACATGAAACCCTTTTTAACTGACTGTGTGCCTGCAGCTCTGTACTATTGAAATAGGTACCTCCTGGGGGTCACAAACACCTTTTAGATGTCATAATTCACACACTGATTTTCATAATGAAAACTACTTTTGAGGAATCATTGCAGTCCTTAAACTGTGTGCGGTTTAGTGTTGTCTAACAAACTGTAGCTAAAAGCCTGATTATCTCTAAAAATACTTCTTGAAAGATCATATCCCACAAACTTAGTTTAGAGAGACCACACTGTCTACACTGTATATAGTGAAGTCTGCAGGTGTTTGAACATTGAAATTTGTTTTGTCCCTAAATTATTCTGCAGATCATCAGAATGAAAAGTTATTGGCCATGATTGCATAGCCCCTTTGAAAAAAAAGGGCTATCCAGACTGACAAGCGGGACATTCAAGGTCACCTCTCCGGTGGGGAGGGAGCCTGAGATTGTCTAAATTGGAGTCTGTTCTATCGCAAATGCAGAACAAAAGGTTTTAAGACAGCAAATAAGTTGGTGCTCTAAAAAATACGATTGTTTGCTTGCAGGACAGCAGCAGGAGATGAGTCCTCTGTCACAGGTGGTTGGTCAGTGAAGATGGTCACCTGCAGGTTCAAGCTCATTGCTTCTCCAACCCACATCCACTGTCACTGCACTTAAGGGAAGTTATTGTTGGGTTTACCTAAGTACAAACCCTGCTGGAACAATTAGACAATCAACTGCAGCAGCAAAACAAAACACAGCTCTTTGTGTGATCACGCGCGAGGGAGGCCAACTGAGGTCAAGCGCTGGTCCTTCCACTCGAACCACGTCAGAGTCTCTGCAGAAGCTTCCCTTAGTGCTCCTTTTATTGCAATTACATGAATATGCATAGTCTCATCAACATGTGACATGTGTGTGTAAACAGAGTATGTGCCTGTATGTGTGAGTCAAAATATGACCCTGTGAAACCTGCTCAGACGGGCCTAACCATATTTTACTATGTTGTCTGCAAAGAGATGCAACTCCCAATATGCCCGGTGCCAGGAGCCTCCCTTGCAGCAGCCCAACTAAGACAAACTAGACAGATATAGAGTGTGTGTTCCGCCAGACCATATATGACAAAACAAGATGCGACCTTCCCGTGAACTTCCCGTGAATGTGTATGAGCTATGCCAGAACAACAGAAGGGAGTGAAGGTCCTCCCCCCTCATGGTGCACCCAGACCTAAATAAGGATGAGACATTTTATCAACATACAAACGATTATATATCTCTAAGCATAAATGATGATATGTTTGCAAATACAAGTGACAATCCTAAATTATCACTCTGACAGTTATGTTCTGTTGAAGACTTTCTTCTGCACTTACATTTGGATCACCTAAATCCACGACAGTCATTTAAGCAGTAATGCCACGACTGGAAACAAGCAATCCCTGAAATATTACAACATACCAAGCTTCTGTGTTTGAATACAAAACAAATGTGTTGTTTGATCTAGAGACTGCACTTGTGGCTGAACTGAAAATACATTTTATTTTGATTTTATAAGTAATGTAACTTGAAAAACAAAGTT